TCACTAACAATATGGTCAACTAGGCCCTCACCACGGGGATAGGATCGGCGCTCAATGACGCGTTCCTAAACTTCTCATTTATAACACGGCCGAACCGGCACTCTCACTGAGTAGCTGGCGAGCGCATGTGCACGCCAGGAGGCGGGCGCGCGGAGCCAGCTATGTTCCACGTCACGTGACGCGGTCACCAGGGGGACTGGGAGACGAGACGGTTGTGTGGCTTGGAGCCCCCTAGATAGCTTTACTACAAGTTAATCACTCTTTACATGTCGAGTTTGTCACCTCAGAGTCCGGAGCCTACCAACATGGTGCCCAGACCCAGCGATGTGTTCGCTGAACCTCCGGCTTTCGTTCCGGACGACTCTGAGCCTCTCGACTTGATTTCTTTCATGGCCCTCGAGGAGGCCGACGTCCCCGTGGATGGAGGGACTCAAACCGAGGTCCCCGGGGTTGAAAGGACTCGAACCGAGGGCGAGACTGCGGATCCCACCGACAAAGCTCTCAAGCTAGAGCGTTTTTCGGGTGCTCCCAAGACTATAGGCCTTGTGGAATGGCGCCGTCGTTTCGTGGCTCTCTCTGCCGCTGGTCGTGGCCTATGGTCGTGGCCAAGCTCAAGGCCTTCTTGACTGGTCCTGCGGCTCGCTTGGTGCAACCACCCTTTTCGGGAGACAAGAGTCTTCCGCGAGCCGAGTGTGGGGACTCCCCACTGGGGAGGGTACCACCTTTGGGCGAGCGCTAAAACCAACTTCCGGGCATCCCTGGCCGGAACCTATCGTGCTTCGGTTTGCCCATTGCTTACGCGATTTTCGCTGTCTACCGTCAGATTTCGTTCAAACTTCCCAAATACTCTCCAACACTCACAGAAAGAGGAAATCTACTCAAAAGACTCTTCTGTACGCATTGAGGCCTCTGAAATAACTTAAAAACATCGTTTTTTAGCCGTCTCTCGCCTTGCTCTCTTAGCTCGTTCCTGTCTCGTTTTGAGCAACTCACGTCTCCTGTGGAAATCCGGATCGCCCGGGCCGAGTGGAAATTGCTCGCTTACTCGTGCAAGAGCGCGCGCCCACTCACAACAGACAGTGTCACAAGAGACGGTTTAACGCAAATGCAGTCTCCTCGTGTAAGATACTGCGATTGGTGATTTTGTGATTCTTCTCTTTATATCTTTTACAGTGCGCCTCTTCCGATAAGCGCGCTGTAATTGGCAGTCTGCAAATCTCAAGTAGCTCTTGCAATAAGTGTGGATTCAGAATACGACGTTTTTATCTACAAATAATGCCCCAAAGCCTTCTCGAAGGAGACATGCGCTATATCTGACATATGATTTCTCAGAGTGATCTCGTGGGAGTGTTTGGCGAAGTATCCTCACCATATCATTGTGCGGTTCAAGAGGATCCGCGAAGCCTAGACGAACCGCTTCTCCGAAAGCCTATTGCCTTATACACTTTTGCCAGTGGCGTTAGCGGGTGTACCGCATCTACGATGCGTCAACGTCTTGAACTGACGCAGTCAATGCTTCTGCTTCATGGTAGTGGGGAGATGC